CTGATACCAAGGGCTCAAGTAGAAAGAAAATGTTTTGAGAATGATGATGGCAACATAGGTACAAATGTGCTTGACACAATGGATGGATGGATGGATGGATTGTGATAAGAGCCGTACGAGCCCCCAATAATATGATTTTTTTTTAAAGAATCTTTCTCTTTGAAAGAAATTCTCTTGAGTAGTCTTATGTACCTACTGTTCATTTTCATTTAATAGAATTAGCTTATTCCATTAAAATCCTGATGGGAATTTGAGTTGTATTTTTTCCCCAAACCATTTTATTAGGAGCTAATCCAGACATCATACCATTTCATAGTTCAGTCATATCAAGCAGTATTGTACAATTGCTACCAAAACCAGTTTCAGAACATTTTCTTCCTTCTTGAACTCCTTGGTATCAACTCCCCATTAACCCATCATACCCCCCAAGAACCCTTATTCGAGTTGTCTCTCTGGATTCACCCATCCCAGATTTCATATACCCCAAACATAGAAAAACACATAATGAAGATTCAAGAAGACGACCAACAATGATAAAATATGACAGAGATAAACCCCAATATGAAAAAAAGAGAACCAGAAAATACTAAAAACCAGATCAAGCCCAAAGCATATCAGAAGGGAGATCAAGTGAGAAGGTTTTTAGCAGTTCAAATCAGATTTCTTGTTTTAATCAACTGTAGTGGTCTCTCCAGTCCTCTCTGTCTGATCACCAGGTTACTCCCCTCCCTCAATGATGGTTAGAGGGAAATTCCCGGAGGCTGATTATGACCCTGTGTAGATCGTGCAAATGCATTTTGGGCTTCCACTGTCATCCATACCTCTGTATACCAGAATCTCACCATTTAAGCTCTAATATGATTCCTTCCTTCAGATTCGGATGAAGAGAAACTGGTGTTTACTTGCTCGGTAAAGTTGGTGTGGCCCGTTTATAGCTTCAGCAACAGCACCTTCACATGCTCACAAACACTGGTCATTAGAAAACATTGCTAACCCGATGGGTGAAAAGTATCTCTGGGAAGCAGGTGTGATGGTTTATTTTGTGGTGGTGGTTCTTGGAGAGGCACAAGCACATGGCCACATTCAAACAGTACAAAAAGGAGGGGTATTTAGGGTGTTTCCCTACTTAGAATGATTATTGCACATCTTTGCATGTTGCACATACATATCTGAAGAATAAAGTCTTAGTTATTTCCCTTTTTCATAGAAACCTTTTTTGAACAAATGTTACATCTTTGTGTGTGGTGAAAATATACATAACAAAACATCTCTACACTTTTCTACATGTACAATTCAGGGGCGTTGATTACACCTCCGTTAACTTAGGCTTAGTGCCCTCTAAGCAAACACTCACCCTTTTGCTCTCCCTCCCATAAATCTTTTTCTTGTGAAAAAGAAGAAACATACAGATGGCTTTATTTTGGGGGCAGAGCAACAAGGCCCATTTCTCCTGTTTATATCTATCCCAACTACCCTGTGACCCTCCCCAGAGAGGACTACCATTTTACCAGTTTCCAATGCGCCTTCCAGAAGTAGACAAGTGTGTTTCTGGATTAGTATAATAAAATGGGTACAAATGACTGGGCCACAACCTCCTTAGCTCATCAGAGGAATTCCTTGCTTATATTTCTTTATACACTCCCTCCTCATTTTGGAAGCCATTCCTGAGGCTTCCGGGGTACTGGAAGCACTGAGACTTCTACGTGTCTTTGTCTAGGAAAAAGAACTTTGGCATCAGCTACCTGGGCCGGGATCGTCTCGGGCAGGAAGCATACCTCTCACTCCTATCTGACTGGGACCTGAGCACGGCCTTTGCCACTGCCTCCAAACCTTACCTACAGTTGCGTGTGGATATCCGGCCCACCGAGGACAGTAAGTAGTCAGTGCGCCCAGGGACTGCTCTGGTAACCTTGGCCCATAGGATGGGAATTGTGACTCTATCCTTCTCAATATTCTACCTGTGAGCTGGGCAGCTTGGGTACTGGACCTCAGTTTCTTCACCTATAACATAGAGCTCTGATATCTTAGGGCTGTTTTGAAGATTAAACAGGGAACTTTATGTAAAATGCTTGGAATTGTACCTGGCCACATAGTGAATGCTCAAAAAAATGATTACTAGCATTTTATTCTATTGTATTATTATACTGTGGCATGCAATCTAGTAAAGAACAGTATAATTGTATACTGTAATAATATAGCTGTGATATTAGATCTTTTGAGTTATAATCATGTCTAAGTATAACAGTACTTGCTATGGCTGTTGTGTGTATTAATTTTCTCATTCTCTGCTCATTTCATTTTTGGAGCTCTTGGCGCACTCGTTTGTTTTCGTGTCTGTGTCACTTCTCTTTCCATGTTTGTGTCTCCTCACTTTTGCCGATGCCTGGTTCCTGAGAGTGCACAGCTAAATTAAGACATGGTCCCATGAATTTGATTATGGATCACACATCAGATCATAGTATTGTATTGGGGTTAACTTGCCTGGGCATATCATGGTTATTGAAGGATAATGTTTTTATTCTTGGGGGAGAAACAAAACAGTTACATATTTACGAGGAAAGCGTCATAATGTCTGTAAATAAGTTGACAAAAAAATAAAAGTGTACAAAGTGTGAGGTAAAGCAAATGAGGCGGGGGAAACTAGTTAACCGTTGGAGGAGCTAGATGAAGTGGAATATAAGGTATTCAATATTTTCTTCTTTCACCTTTACTGTGGGTTTGCAAACCTAAAAAACCAAACTCGCTTCCATTGAGTTGATCCCAAATGTTTTCTTTAATAAGAATCAGCACAAAGCTGGTTCCTATGAGATGGGTTAAGAAGGTCGTAAATGTACGAGTTAAGCTGCTGTATCACTCCATCACTAATACTACTTTTCCCCTCAGTACTTTTCCTGAGTTTCATCGAACTCACAAACTGTACTTAGAGTCCAGTGGCTTATTAGGAAAGTAACAGGCTACTGCTCAGGATCGAGATTAACTGGGAAGTAACAGGAACAACTTAGACACAACAGGATGTGGTATGTTTAGTCACAACAGTTTCCAACCAAACCCTACTGCTGCTGGGCCCTTTGCTGGGGTTTGCAGCTGCCGCCGCCGCCGCCACCACCACCGGACTCTGTCATTGCTCAACCCCTTCTTACCACTTCTCTGCACTACAGTGTTAACAGCTGTGTGTGTCTCCTGGGTCTGGGAGGTTATCAGCACATGGGCCTCTGGTGCAAAGAACATACTCTCCTCCCAGCTCCCCTCCTTGATGGTAGTGAGGTCTTCTTTAATCTCTGTGGGATTCGTTCTTTTAGGACAGATCACGCTGTCTTGTAAGAGGTATTCCAGAGTGCTCCTTGGACGTAAGGATGGCAAGACTTCGTCTTACATACTTTAGACAAGTTGTCAGGGGCGAATAATCCCTGAAGAAAGACATCTTGCTGGGTCAAGTAGAGGGGCAGCAACAAAGAGGAAGACCCTCGATGAGATGGAGGGACACAGTGGCTGCATTAGAGGACTCGGGCATAGGGACACTTGTGAGGCTGATGCAGGGCCGCGCAGTGGTTTGTTTTGCTGTGTAGTTACTCTGGGGCGGAGCTGACTTGATGGCACGCACCACCAACACCAACAGGTGTAATGACAAAACTGACCCCCCTCCTCAGTAGGGGGCAGCCATCCAGTGTATACAGTAATTGACCAATCCCTGCAGAGGATCTCCGCACCTTGTTTGCACAGTAGCCTAAATAATCCCTGTGCAAGATTGTGGCCTCAAAAATCCTTTTGGCAGAATGACATGCCTAGGGCCAGAAAGGCCACATGCAAGCAGGCCTGGGCTATAAACACCTGACTTACAGATGGCTCCTGCTTGCCCTTTCATGCGGGGCTTCCCACGGACTCGATCACGGTTGATGAAGTGAAACAGGAGCAGACTGGAATTCTTAGGCTTTGTGTGATTCCTCATGGTAACTGGAATGGGCAAAGTTATGAGTCAAAGCCCGGATGCGGGTCTCAGAAGAGGCCTCAGGTGTGTCAGATGGAAAGCCATACGCGTGCAGTGCACCACTATCTTTGAGCAGGGCAGCATTTTCTGCAGCCCGGATGTAATGCTATGTAAATTTTCTCTCACTTTGAAATGATGAAACCAAGCCCTATGCACCGCAAATTCTTCATTCCAATCACTTTCACTAACGCACGGACAGTTTTTGAGTCATTGAAAAGGCTTTGCGCCTTTTCTTGCACTCACCAAAGTCTCACTGCCCTCAGGTTGATTCCAAGTCACAGTGGCCTTAGAAGACAGAGTAGAACTGCCCCCCACCCCATGGGGTTTCCACGGCTGTAAACCCTTAGTGAAGCCCAATGCCATCTCTTTTTGCTATAAAACAACTGGTGTGCTGAACCACTGACCTTTTGGTTCGCATATGAGTGCTTGACACACTGTGCCACCAAGGTTCCCTTTTCCTGCACACAAACTTAAAAAAATAAACTGCCATAGAGTTGATTCTGAATCAGCGGCGTAGTGGATTATGTGTTGGGCTGCTAATCACAAAGTCACCAGTTTGAACAAATCATCGGCTCCACGGGAGGAAGGTGATGCCTTCGGTCCTAATCTGTCCTATAGGATTGCTATGAGTATCCTCCCTCTCTCGCTTTCTCTCCCCACCTCCCTCTCCCCCCTCCTCTTCTCTCTCTCTCTCTGCCATTTAGTGGATGCTGACTCATAGTGACCCCTCTGTGGGTTTCCGAGACTGTAACTGTTTACGGGGTGGTTTCAAACTACTAGTCTTGTGGATCGCAGCCCAACGTCTAACCACTATACCACCACAGCTGAAGAAGAACCGCATGCACCTATTCCAAATTACCTGCATTTGGGGAGCGGGGGGAGGCAGGGGTGTTCTTTTAACTTTCTGTTGTGATTTGTGAGGAGCCCTGGTGACATAAAGGTTTCACGTTGGGCTGTGATCCACAAGGTCAGCAGTTCAAAACCACCAACCCCTCCTCAGGAGAAAGATGGGGCTTCCGACTGCAGTAAACAGTGACGGTCTCAGAAACTCACAGGAGGCCGTTCTACCCTGTCCTGAATGTTCACTGTGTTGGCATCAACTCAATGGCAGGGAGTTTGGTTGTTTGGTATTGTGATTTCAGTAAAAGTTTACAGACCAAATTGGTTTTTCTATTTAATATTACATGTAGATTTTGCTTCATGACATTAAATGCAGCCCCTTACAATGTAGCAGCACCCTTTCCATTTCCTTCCTTTGCTTACCGTTTCTGTTTGTCTTTCTTTCCTATCCATTCCTGCCTTCTGAGCTTTATTCCTGAGCAAATGCTTTT